GGGACACCCCTCACACGCTTCGTGGCCCCATAGGAAGCTCCATCGAAGGGCCCAGTGGCAGTGGCCACATTCGTCACCTAAACACGTGTCGGCACACACCTCACACGTTTCGCGGCCCCATACGGAATTCAACCGAAGATAACCGAAGGCCCCATTGGCAGTGGCCACATGCGCCCCCTGAATTCAGGCCCCAGAGGCGGTGGCCACGTGTCGGCACACCGCTCACAAGTTTCGTGGCCCCATAGGCGCTCCACCGAAGGCCCCAGTGGCAGTGGCTACATGCGTCCCCCGCACCTCTTGCGGCGCACCCCTCACGCGTTTCGCCGTCCCGTACGGGGGGGGCTCCACCGAAGGCCCCACAGTGTCGGTGGCCTCGTGCGCCCCCCCCCCCCCCCCCTGCCCGTTTCGGCACACCCCTCGCACGCTTCGTGGCCCCATAGGGGAGCTCCACCGAAGGCCCCAGTGGCACGATTCGCATGGCGGCCCCGCCCCATTTCGGCGCACCCCTCACGCGCTTCGTGGCCCCATATGAAGTTCCACCGAAGTCCCAGTGGGAGGGTTCGCATGCGGTCCCCGCCTCATTTTTGTACACCTCTCAAGCGTTTCGTGGCAGGGAGCCCAAACCAAGGTCACATGGCCATGATTCGCATGGCGGCCCCGCCCTTCGTCGGCACACCTATCAAACGTTCTTTGACAGGGAGCCCAAACTAGTGCCAACATGTCACGATTCGCCTGGCGGCCCCGCCCCATTGTGGTGTACCACTCACGCGTTTTGTGGCCCCGTAGGGAGCTCCAACTCAGGTCCAAATGCCAGGGTTCGCATTGCGGCTCCGGTTCATTTCGGCACGCTTCTAACACGCTTCGTGGCTCCACAGTGAGTGAGCGCCACCGAAGGCCCAAATGACAGGGTTCGCATGGCGCACCCCTCACGCGTTTCGTGACCCCATAGGTCGCTCCACCGAAGGCCCCAGTGGTAGGCCCCGCCCCATTTCGGCGCACCCCTCACACGCTTCGTGGCCCCATAGGGAGCTCCACCGAAGGCTCCAGTGGCAGGGTTCTCACAGCGGCCACGCCCTACTTCGGCACATCTTTCACACGCTTCGCGACCCCATAGGGAGCGCCGCACCGCAGGCTCCAGTGACAGGGTTCGCGTGGCGGCCCCGCCCCATTTCGGCACGCCTGTCACACGTTTCATGGCCTCATCGGGAGCTCAGCCTGAAGCGGTACCCACAATGCGTATTCCCACGAGTTCATCCTCCTCTGATACGCTGGTCTCCTCCTCCTCCTCCTCCTCCTCCTTCTCCTCCTCCTCCTCCTCCTCCTCCTCCTCCTCCTCCTCCTCCTCCTCCTCCTCCTCCTCTTCTCCTCCTCCTCCTCTTCCTTCTCGTCCTCCTCCTCCTCCTCCTCCTCCTCCTCCTCCTACTCCTCCTGCTCTATTACCGACGCAGCCGAGGCCTCGCGGCTCCATGAGGGGTTGCGAAATGCGCAATGGTCGCCATCTTCGTGGGCTCCTGGGAGGTCCCGCGAAGTGGGTGGGGCGCGCAGATCCCGCCGAGGCTTCGTGGCTCCCGTGGGGGGCTGCGAAGTGCGCAGGTGACGCCACTGCCGTGGGCTCCCGGGAGGTCCCACGGAGTGGACGGGGCACGCAGACCTCGCCGAGACCTCGCGGCCCCCTGCGCACGGAGGAGTGCTCCTGCGCGGTGCTGGTCCGTCAGCATGTTCGGTCGTATTGGGCGGGCCGTCCTGGGTAAGAAATGCTTGGTTGAACCTGTGAAGTCCGTCGCGGGAAGGTCGCCCCCCTTCCCCCCCCCCTCCCCCCCGGTAACGGGACGGCCCCGCTCACAGGCCATTTTGCGCGGTGCTGTCACGCCTCGGAGGGCGTCCAGACATGTTCAGACGCCTCAACAGGCCTCCAGAGACCTCTGGAGACCTTCAAAGGCGGGCGTCGTCGTCGTCACCGTCGAGGTCGTCGTCGTCGTCGTCGTCGTCGTCGTCGCCTCCGCCGTCGTCGCCGCCGCCGGCGCCGCCGCCGCCGGCCGCCGCCGCTGACGCCGTCGTCGTCAACGTGGGCTTCGTCGTCGTCGTATTTGTCCTCGTCCTCGTCGTCGTCCTCGTCCTTGTCGTCATCGTCTTCGTCGTCCTCGTCCTCGTTCTCGCCCGGCGCCCTGGGCCCCCCCTCCGCGGGGCCCGAAGGTTTTACTGTCATACCCCCACGGGGCCCCGACCCTACCCCCGTAACGGACGTCACGGGGGGGGAATGCAAGACAATCTCCTCCCGGTTGGGCCCCGGACGCGCGAACCAGCAGCTACCCCTCGCCCCCTCCCGGCCCGACGGTTCGGGGGTGGTTGGACGCCCGAATGATCCGGGAAAACTCTGGCTCGGGGCATCTCTGGCTTGGGCCCATGAGGCACGAATCTCAGGAAGACAGTGGTCGGGTTGGGAGGATGGGGCTGGGAGACATGAGGATGTCATTGCCCGTAGGCGGTCGAAGGTTTTGCGCATTGCATCCGAATGCTGCTTCTCAGACTTTTTGTTGTTCTTGCGCTGGCTACGGAACTTCTCAGACCCTTCCTCCTCCCAACCCCTTCCTCCCAACGCGGTAACGGTCCCCCCCGGCTTGGACCCCCGAGGCACGAAGCGGGAGTTGCCCCATGGCCGCCCCCAGCCCTGAGGGACTTTGGCCTCGGAGTTGTCTTGGCCGCCGGCCTCCCTCGAGCTCTCGGCCCCGGCTGTTGCGCCAGGGAGGAAGAGTAGGAGGAGGAGAAGGAGCAGGAGGCAGGAGGAGGAGGAGGAGGAGAAGGAGGAGGAGCAGGAGGAGGAGGAGGAGGAAGGAGGAGGAGGAGGAGGAGGAGGCCTGGCCCCGCGCGTTTGCCCGAGGAGGCCGCCTGGGCGGCGGACGAGCAGGCGGAGGAGGCCCGCGAGGGAGGGAAAGCGACTGGACGTGAGAGTGACCTTTCGCACAGGAACATAGCAAAGCCACAGGAAAGCGCGGCATTGACAGTGTAGCTCCGCAAACGTGACGAATGTTAACGAGCAGGAACACGAGCAGGAGCAGTGACCTCTGGTGCGGGCCCAGTTGGGTCCCCCGATGGCCGAGCGCGAAGCGGCGGCAGCGGCCTGCGCGCCCAGGTTTGGCCACCCCGTGGCCCCCCCAACAGAAGCCGCGCACCAGAGTTCGCTCTTGCCCGAGGCCGCTCTGGCGTGTGTAGCCGAGGGGAAGCCGCCCCGACCCCCCCATGAGCTGCACCCTCTGCAGTCCAGCCGCTGTGAATGAGCACCGCTCGGGGCTCTCGGGAGGGGCTCGGGGGCCTCGGGGCCGCTCCTCAGCCTGCCGCCGTGGAGCCCGTTTTTGCTGCCCAGACCCGCCGTGGCCAGAAGAGCCCCCTTTCGCTCCTTCTTGCGAGGGCCCGACGGCCGGCGCCGCCGACCCTGAATGACGACGACGACGACGACGACGACGACGACGACGACGACGACGACGGGCGCTCTCGGGGTCCTCTTGGGGGTGGTTTGGGGGGCCTCTCGGGAAGCTCTTGGAAGCCGCTTGGGAGCCTCGTGGGGGCCTCTTGGGGCCTCCCGGGGGCCTCTCGGGGGCCTCTTGGGGCCTCCTGAGGGGCTTCTTGGGGGCCCCTGGGGGCTTCTTGGGGGCCTCTTGGGGCCTCCTGGGGGGGCTTCTGAGGGGCCTCCTGGGGGCTTCCTGAGAGCTTCTCGGGCCGAGGGATCGCCTTCGTGCCTCACGTTGCGTTCCCTTCTGGCAGCGCGGCGGCTGTGCTCGGCCCTTGGCGCGTTCACCGAGCAGCGCTGGGCTGCTCGACCCCTACCCCTCGGGCGCGTCTCTGCGGAGGGGCCTCGCTTGTCGGGGTGCCTATTGTTAGGCCAGGCACGTCCCCCTACAGGAGGAATTGTCCAAACGATTTTTAAAAAGAAAAGAAAGAAACAAAAAACGAAAAAGTATAGTCAAGGGACGATTTGTTGACTATGATAGACTATGTTTGATTAGTTGCTTGATATGTTTTGTGTTTCCTCCAGAATCCGCCTGTAGGGGGGCATGCCCGACCGAAGTCTGTTGTGAGGGTGGCCCTTCTGCTCCCTGACAGCAGGCGCAGAAGACAAAAAAGCGGCCTGCCAGCAGGTGCCCTGCAGAAATGTATCATCCCCCGCGTGTTGCCCCAGGGACCCACAGAACTCGGGGGCGGAAAAGAGGGGGGTGATGACTAGGGGGGGGTGGATATCATGGCGGTGGCCATGATATTTTCCCAGATTTCATGGAGCCCCTTCTTATTTCAATACGTCCTCGCCCCCCCCCTGGGCCGCGCACATGCCGCCGGCCATGATTTGCGCCCCCCCCCCTCTTGGACACCCCCCTCTTGGCCGCCCCCGAAGAACAGCCTTCGGGGCATCTGAAGGCCCTCCGAAATCTACGAACCCTGAGAGCGACGTTGCAAAAATTGCACCCTCGTGAGAAGTCGCGACCAGAGCCTTCGACCCCATCTTTCGGACGCACTGTTCGAGCAGTATTGATCTATGATGGTCCCGGAGCCGCTCAAAGGAAAACGCCCTGTGTGAAAAGCAGCACGCGTCGTCGTCCTCGTCCTCGTCCTCGTCCTCGTCACCGTCGTCGTCCTCGCTTCACAGCAGGATCTCTTAATGGATGTGTCTGCTGCCCCCTCGAGCAGGAGGACCCCTCCATAACCAGGAGGCCTCCTCGAAGAGGAGGGGGAGGAGGAGGAGGAGGAGGAGGAGGAGGAGGAGGAGGAGGAGGAGGAGGAAGAGTCCTCTTCGAGAAGGAGAAGGGAGGAGGCGAGGGCAAGGAGGAAAAGGGCCCCATCGCCGAGAAGGAGGTGGAGGAGGAGGAGGAGAAGGAGGACGACCCCTCCTCAATAAGGAGGGCAGGGAGGAAGAGGGACGAGGGCCCCTCCTCGAGGAGCAGGAGGAGGAAGACGACGACGACGACGACGACCCCTCCTCCAGGAGGCAGACCTCCTCGCCAACGCCAGCA